GGGGCGGGGAGGCGGCGGGGTCCCCGGGCGAGGCGCGGCCCCCGAGAGGAGGCCGCAGACCCCCGACCCGCGCCGGGCGCGCCCCAGGGCCCGGAGCCTCCGCCCGCCGCCGCCTAGCCGGCGTGACCCGGCCCCCGCCCGAGCGGTGTTTTCTGGTGATGAATTGAATTTGTAGCCGATATCCGATTCCCATGTAGAGTCTCCGCCTCCTCCTCCCCCCCGCCGCCGCCCTCCCTCCGCCCTCCCCTCCCGCCGCCGCCGCCGCCGCCGCCGCCGCCTCCCGCTCCAGCTCCGCGGCCCGGCCCGGCCGGCTCCCTCCTCCCTCCCCTGCAGCCTTCGCCTGCCCTCCCGCCGGCCGCACCGGGCTCCAGGGGGGCCAGAGGCTCTGTGGGGTGGGGGGAGGACAGGAGGGGAGGAGGAGGGAGGGGGGACCCCCGAGTCGCCCCCTCTCCTCCCCCCGCCCCCCCGGCTCCATCCTCCGCCGCCGCCCGAGCAGCTGCGGGGCCGCCGCCGCCGCCTTTGCAGGTAACAGCCACCGCCCCCCCTCCCCCCGCTCGCCCCCTCCCCGTCTGGCCTCCGCTCTCTCCGGGCCCCCGGCCCCGGGCCTCCTTCGGGCGGGGGGGGGGTTGGAGGCGGGGGCGTCTGGGTTGTCACCGCGCCGGGGGCGTGGGCGGGTGCCGGGTCACCAGAGGCTCGGGTGTGGGTGTGGGTGGGGAGGCCGGGGGATGCCCGGCGCCGCTGACACCGGCACCCCCTCACTTTCCGGGGGAAGCTGGGGGGCGGCGGCGCGCGCGGGGGGCCGGGGAGGGTGTTCCCGGCCTAGCGGTATCGGCCGCGTCTGCGCTGCCCCGGCCCTGGCGCCTCCAGTCCCTGCGCAGCGCCCGCTCCCCGCCGGCCCCGGCCGCGCGGCTTGAGGAGGGGGCGCCGCCCGGGCGGGGGCGGCGGGCTTATATAACGCGGGGAGCGCCCGTGCCGGCGTGTTTGGGTTGGGGGGAGGGGGCCGTCTGCCGCGCTCCCCGGCGCGGGGGCTGTCTGCGCGCGCGGGGTGGGGTGCGGGCGAGGATGCACCGGCGTCCCCCGGGGTCTCCTTCCTCCCCACCCTCCCCTGCTGCCGGCGCGCAGGAAGAGACGGCCCTGAGGGGGAGGTGGGGGTGTGTGTGGGAGGTGGGTAACGTGCTCGTCTGTGTTTTTAATAGTAGTGGGGTTTTAATCCGCTTGGGAGTTGTGTGCTAAGAATAGAAATGTGCGGAAGATGCTGGGTTTGGCGGATCCAGTGATGCTGTCGCTGCCGGCGGCGGCGGCGGCTCTGGCTGCAAGTAAACAAACCAGCCTCTTCCTCGTCCACCTCCTCCTCCTGCGCATCGGTCTGCATCAGCCATGATGCTGGCTGGGCCCTCGGAGCCCAAAGTTGAAGCCTGGCTGGTCGCGGTGCTCACCCTGATTCCCAGGCGGGGGTCACTCCCTGTTCGGGATTACCCGGGGATCTTCGTTTAGGCTGGATTGAGTCTCTTTGGGGCCAGGTCTTCAATACCGATATTTACTGTTTGTCTTCTGAAAGCTGAGGAAAGGCTTAACCGTGAGGGTAGGGTAGGTAGGATGCTCCCATTTCTTGCATCAAGAGAACGTTATGGAAATAAAACCCAACTCATTTCACCAGTGTGGTAATTGGTTGAGAGCCCGGTAGTTTGTAATAGATGATGTTTCAAATAGGAAATCAACAGCGAGACCTACGTGTCTATATTGATTAAGTAGTACTGTCAATAAAGTGTTTATGCTTTATTAGTTCACCTTGTAGCTAAAAGATGTGAAATGATGACTTTTGGCAGTTAATATCTTGCCAACTGCCTCAAGTCTTCAAGCTAGGTATGTGTTCCATATTTGGTAAGGCATGGTCATTTTATATCTTTTAGTAGACTGTAAATTACTAGAAAACCCCTGGGTTTTGTCTTTGGTGGAAACTCATTAAATTAGGTTATACGTTGTTAGGAAATAATTGGAAAAGCCAAAGCTTTAAGAGTCCTGTAAACATGGTTTAGGAAAGTTTGTTTTCAGAACTTCAGTATCATAGCAAAATACGTGTAAATGAATGTGAATATTCCAGGAGGTGGTTGTCTAAAACACACACCCATTCAAGGAGTGCTTGTCTAAAACACGAAAATACTTCTTATTAAGATATCCAATTTTGAGTAAATGGCCAGCTTTCTAAGGTGAATGCCCAATAATTTGGGCGATCTGTATCAGGACTGTAGATTTTTTTTTTATCTTTGCCAACACATGATCTTGACTTTCCAAGTTTACCAAGGACACTGTATTTGAAGACCTGCTTTTTGTTTTTTTCTCACTAGGGTTGACCCCAATATCTTTAATTGGCTTGAGCTTCTAATTTTAAAGTGAGGGAGTGCATGTATCACATGAATGAGACAACACTGGAATTTAGGTGAATGTAGAGTTACAGTTTTCAGTTGTATGTTTGTGGTATGTGTTTGTAGTAGTAAGGTTTCCTACAGCATTTAAAAAATATCTAAAGTAATCCTATAAAAAACCCCCAAAACTTAGGAAACTATTATTTGCATCCATTTTACGCTTAGTCTTTCTGTAATGATTACTTTAGTGAGTTGTTTTCCAACTTAAAAATTTTTGGTTTGACATTGCCTCCTAGTTTAAGTTGTGTGTGTGAAGGTACTTAAGGGTTCAGCTTTGGACTTTTTGGTCCATGTAATTTTATAGCTGTAAAAGATTTTAAATAAGATTTCATCCATTCCTCCAACAAATTATTAGAGTGTGAACTGTGTTGCTAGGGGGGCTCGTTTGATTATGAACTTTTCTTATTTACATTTCATTTAGAAGATTACTACCATTAGAAAGAGAATTTGTTTTCAGAATCATTGTAAATCTAAACATGTTTTGGTTAAACATATCCTGGGACAAATGTACTTAGCATAATGGAGTCTTGTGCAAAGTAGGGATTTAAGATTTTTTTAAGCCCTAGGTTTTGATTTAAACATATGAGGGATTTTATTTCTTAAAAATTTCAGTGGAAATTTCCAACTATTTGGGTTTCTTTTAAAAAGAGGAACCTGTTTTACAAATTGATTTTGTGGAAGTTTACAGTTGGCTTAAATTTTGCATATTTTTGTGAAAAGATAACTACACTTTCTTTTCATCACTTTCTTTTCACTTTCTTTTATCACTTTCTTTAATCTTCACACTTTTCAGTTCAAGAATTCACCCTTGAGAAGATAAGGCAATTATTGTTAAGGACATGTTAATTGGATTTTTAGCATGATTGGATAGGATCTTGTCTGTATAATGTGATTAAGTTTGAAGCATTAAAAAATATTTGATTTACAAGACTTTGTATTTGAATAAGATAAGAGGCAGGACAGAAAAGTAAACCATTTCATTTGTTTTGAGCAAGTCAGTCTTAATTTGACTCACAGTTTTGTTTTCTCAATATATGTTAGTGCACATAATGAATTTTTGTAGATTTGTGTTAGAATGTGTAAGTCATTCCAAGTTGGTCAGTTTTTGACTCCAGATTTTCAGGAGTGTGCATTGTTTTTCTAAATCCTGGTTTCAGACAGCGTGCGCTTCTCTGTAGTCACCTGGAGGTTAGCCCTGGGTCACGTGATGTTAACTGAAAACTTTATCACTGTCTTTCACGTATGACAGATAGAGTTAGGTTAGGTTTAGAGTCCGTGCTGCTGGTGCCTTGGTGAGAACTCGCTACGTGCCGGGCGCTGTTCCCTGTGTCCGCTTGTTTAGGCTTCACGACAGCCCCTGCTACACTTTTGAAAGTGGTTTTCGTAAGAGAACACACATACTAGTCCGGTATGATGAAAATCCATTTCAGTGGAACTCTCCTTATTCTGAAACACTTTTTTCCTTCATTTTTTTCCTAAGTTGCTGGTACCTGTCCTTAGACTTCATGGTGACATACTCAACTTTGATAACGCATACAGTACAGTAATTTCCGCTGAAATCGTGTTAATATAGTAAAACAAAGTATACCGATAGATCCATACCATTCTCTCTCGCATAGGTTATGTCAGAGGCCAGGTTAAATGCCACAGATGTTTACATCTACTACCATAGCACCGTAAACACATTTCCTTTGTCAGGTGATTGTCAAATAGTTGTTGATAGGTAATATATGTTTCTTGACCTGTAGATTTGCTTTTTGGTTGTCTTCTCAATATTGTCTTGGTATTCATTCGTCACCAGCAGCAGCCAGTTCACATTTTGTAAATGGGTATATTTTGCTAATCTTCCGAGGAAAAAGTAAAATGACTTACCAGAAGAAATCTCTAGAAGATGTTCAAGTGAGGAATTTTCTCTCTTGTGTTAATTACGAAAGACTCTGACTCTGTTTGGGAGACTGGGGATGGGATGGGAAGATGGTCTTTTGCCAGTATTGGAGTTGAGTCCAGTTTTTGTTTAAGTGGTATTTGGTGTTTGATCTTCCCAGCTACCTAGGAGCCTTTTGAAGACGGGAACTGTGTATAATCATGATAGTGTCACCTAAGATGCCATCTGCAAGCCAGGTGGATACTCAGTGGATTTGAACTTGAAAGAATCCTAACTCGTAGCTCTGGAAGAGCCGTGAAGCTATTTATGTTCATCTAATGCTACACTTTTATTTTAATGGCTAAGAAAACAGAAGCACAGAGAATTAAAGGACCTCATATAGCATCACCCTGGGTGGGGCAGAGTTGGGAACAGGGACCCCAGTTTCTGGGCCTGCCCAGTGTTTTCTAATGAGCCATTGTGATGAACTTTGTTATGGGATCCCATACCACGGGGTATGATCTTAGATCGTTTTTACATATGCAGTGGAAAAGTGTGGCCAGCCATGAAACTGAAATTCTTTCAGTGGCAACCCTCAATCTGTTTCTGTTCTATTATACGTGACTTCACCTATGACAAGCCACACCTCATGTAAGAAATGTGGGGAGATCATTTGTCAATAGCTTATTCTGTGCGTTAGCTGGAGCAAAGGAACCCAGTGGGCATTTTCCTAGTTGTTTCAAAGCAGGTTATTAAATGCAGCACCTAGCACAAATTGCTTTTTTATTTGGTCAGTAATGGACGGGTTGGCTGAAATGGCATTCAGATGCCTGAAAAACTGGGGTAAGGAAGAAGGGGAAAATGCTCTACATTTTTGTGTATGTATTTAAAAGTTGATGAAGTTGATTTTTAAGAGTTGGCACTTTGAAAGAACTGAAATTTTGTGTGAAAGTTGGAAATCTTGCTGATGCCTCTTCAGGTATTTTCCTGTAGGGTGAGACAGTGGAGGGATCTATACATAGAGTTTTAAGAAAATCCACAAAGTTTGTTATTGTACTCTGCAGAGAGGAAAGGATCCAAGATACATAGTTTGTGTGGCTCGCTTTCCCCATATGATACGGTTTTTTTTTTTTTAACAGGATAATGACTCTGAAGTGGGACAGACCTGCTGAGAGTTATTTGAAGTGCAGAGCAAGTTGCCTTGAATTTCCTTTCCATTTCAGTATTTTTCCTTTCCCTGAAATCCTTTAAAAGTTTGGTGTGATCTTATGAATTTATTATGGCATATGTTAGTTTCACCTATTTCTTGAAGTCAGTAGATAGCATAGAGTTGTTCTATGATTACCCTTGACAATCATTTGTATTTCAGGGTAGTAATATTCTGTTGAATTTGAACGTGAGATGTCCTTCATTAATTCAGTTTGGCTAGGCATATCTAAAGAATATAAAAAATTGCGGTGCAGAGCAAGTACGTCCTACGTAGTGTTATAGCCAAGTATACATTTTAGAGAAAGTTGTATTATAGGTAGTATTGTGGCTTTAAACTTAGGAATTAACCTGTGAATCTTGTTCTAATTTGTAAAGAATAAAATTGGCTGGCGTGCATTTTAACTTTATGTCAACCTTCTAGTCTTCTGTTGTTATAATTTCCTCTGTGATGCCACAGTTATATTTAGTTTTGAATTTATTGGAAAACCTTGTGCTCTCCTGGACTTTTGAAAAAGAATTTGATAACAGAAAAAAATGTTGGAGCGATTCACAGATGTTACCCATACTTCTGAGACTTGGCATTGGGTTACTTGGTAGAAGGCGTCGCACAATGAAAGAAGACTGGAATGGCAGGCGGTCACTCTTGGTGCTATCACTTATCTTGTTATGGTAACAGCGAGGAAATAACGTCCTCGGTTTTGATTGGTCACAGTTTTCCTGGGCTCACAATTGTAGTGGAATAGCTGTTGCATAGATTCGTTTTTAGTCAAAATGGGGTAATATATGTGAAAGCACTCTGATAACAAACTGTTGTGTGGAAGAGATTTTTAAATTCTCTGTTTTGCTTCCCTCCCTGTATGCCCAGTACAGTCCTTGTCACAGCGC